TGGCCGTCCTTCCAGACACCGACGCACGAGTACGTCGTACCGAGATCGATACCGATCACCTCCGAGAAACCACGCTCGGCGCGGGCAGCACGCTCTTCGCGCTCGGCACGAGCCTTGTTGATCTTGTCCTCGATCTCCATGCGCTTCATCTTGCGCGTGGCGTCGTCCATCTCGACACCCGAGGCCTCTTCTTGGAGGACCTGGAGGGCAGCCTGGGCCTGCGTCAAGCCGGCAAGGAGCTGTTTGTTGCCCTTGTCGACCGTCAAGCCCTTCGAGTAGGCCTGGATGGCCTTCTCGTACGACTTGATAAAGTAGTACGCGGCACCGAGACGGGCGTAACCCTTGCCCCACTTGGCGTCGATCTCAATGCACTTGTTGGCATCGGCCATCGCGGGCGCCGCGTTGCCGTTGCTCAAATAGGCGGCCGAGCGGTTCGAGTAGTACGCGTGGTTGTGGGGCTCGTACGCGATGGCAGTCGTGAACTCCTTGATGGCCGTGGCGAAGTCCGCAGCCGTGTAGGCAGCGTTACCGCGGTTCTTGGCCTCGGCACCGGCAGCCTTGCGCTCTTCGGTCGAGAGGGCGGCGTACTGGTCCTTCGTGGCGGTCTTGTTGCGGCGGCGGGGCGGAGCCATGGCGATTTATGACCAACTAAAAAATGACTGGTGCCAGTCATTTTTTTAGTTTGGCCAAGCCCACGAAAAACGAAATCCAAACACTTGTTTTTGTATTGAATATCGTTGGAATGTCGTAACGATGAACTTTGAATTATAATATGTTACAAGCCTTGTTAGGCCACCAGGACGATGCAAGGGAGAGACGCAAGGTTCGAGTGATCCTACTAGCGTGTTGCGAGACCGCTTTGAGATCGAGCGACAGACAAAAGCCGTGTACCGGTAGCGCCAAGCGCCCGATTGCGCAGCGTTTCTGCTAAGGAGCCACACAATGAAGCAGGGTCCACTAGACGCCCATTGGTTGAAATTCGCGCCAAGTCCACGGATTGATGCTCGATCTCTCGGCCGCGACGCGCAGAGTGAACGCTTGGGTGGAGGTACGTGTGTGTTGGACGTGTTTCTTAACCATGATATGATATGATTACAGACTAAAGACTCCACCTACTAAGACTTACGTACTGGATGTGTGTTGAACGTCGGCGGCCAAAAGCTCTTCAACGTGCTCGAGTTCATGGTCCGGCAGTACGTCATGCCGTCCGTCGTCGGGATGCGCGCACGAGGTACAGTCGCAGTCGTCGGGCGCGAGCTTGGACAAATGATCTGTGGCTTGGTTGAGCGCGCGAGGGTGGTGTTCCCATGTGCAGGTAAGACGTAGGGCGATGTGCGTGGCCCGATATGGAAAGCTGGGAGCTGGAAAGCCGCGGTGAGCGTCGTTCGCGGACACCTCACCTCACCGGCGTCGCGCAGTACCGGTAGTAGAACACGATTTAGAGCTGTGAAGTGGTAATACGCACGGCACCCGCGATCGGAGCGACGCGAACGCTGCACCATACTGGTAGCTCAAGCCAGGTGCCAGCTGCATTAGCTGCATTGACAGCATGTCCAAGCCGATGAATCGAAGTCCACGAGCGACTTTCGAGCCGTGCTTGTTGTAGAAACGATGGGTCAGTGCATGGGGTCAGTGAAGCCACCCTTTTTATGATCCCCACGCTCTGATTGGTGAAAAGTCGGCGGGCGTGTTATTTGGGTCATTTGGCGTTCTCCCTTGCAGCAGCGATGCCGAAGAAGAAGCGCAAGAAGTGGGACCACAAGGTGCCTCGCCGTGAGCCGCTCAATCCATGGTGACCTCGAGATGGCTCCCACGTTCGTCGTCCCGCGCAAGGAGCCCTGGCCGGCGATCTATCACGGCAAGGACCTCGCCATGGTCTTGCGCAACCTGCGCCGCCACGCGTGCAACTACGATGCAGATCGCTTTGACGGGCTCGAGGAGCTTGGCTTCGTCTGGCGAATGCCGCGCGGCAATCACCAGATTGTCACGTACTGGGCCAACGCAACAACCAAGTGGCTCGTCAATGGCATGCCTCTGACGTCGCTCGTGGCGCAGTTGAAGACGTACCACGAAGAGTCCCACAACTTGGACATCCCGGCGGCGCTCACCGTCGAGATGCAAGACGGCCATCAGAGCACGTTCCACGTCGCTCTCGCGTACGCGCCGCGATTGCTCCGCGCTCACTTTTACGAGCTCTCGGTCGCCGACGTGGACGTTCTGCACGGCCTCGGTCTCTTTCCCGAGCTTCCGCAGTGGGCCATTGTCAAGGCTCTATTCTCGCGCTACAAGGAGCGTCTCCACAGCGACGCGGTGCCGGTCAACTTTGAAGTGCCGGCCACGTGGGAGAACGTGTACCGCGGCATCCGCCTTGGCGAGCTCGCGTGGTACCTGGTCCTCGTCGCGCACGACCCGCTCCAGCAGCGACCATGGCGATTTCGACGACCCGGCGATGGACCTTGAAGACATCGGCTTGAAGGTCAACGAACCACTTTACAAGACACAGTGCCATCGGACATTCGTGCCGCGTGTGGACTTTCAGTCTAGCACCGCCCGGATGTCTTTCGAGCATGTTGTTTTGCCATTCTAACATTCAACACAAACTTAACACATTTAACATGTAACATCGAATCTCAAGCGAGCACTCGACCCTTTGTCCGATTTTTGCGGATACCAGCATCTTGTGGCACGACAATCGGGTGCGCACGAGTCGTCTGGACACGGCGGGACGTGTCCAGACGACGTTGGCAAGGTTTCGACGTGTCGCAGTGCTGCGACCATGCGGCCTTGTCGGATAGGACAGCGCTGCAAACCCGCGCGGTCGATCGCGCCATTGGGCTCTGCTGTGGTGCAGCACAAAGAATTATTTGGACTAACAAGAAAGCAACTTCCACTAGAACGTCCTGATCCCGGCAACATTCAAGGCCGCGCCAACAGACCGACGCGGCAGCAAAAACGTCTCCATGGGCGCCGAAGACGGCCCCGATGCGGCAGTCACTCTCACGCTCGGCCAGATGGACGAGCTCTTGATGAAGCTCGTCGAGAACAATGCACGGCTCGGCCCGGCCACTTGCGCTCGAAAGGCCACGTGGCCATTGCCGCCCATCGAATTCCGACATTTTAGGCACGTCAAGCCCGAGTCCGTCGCACAGAGCCTCCCGGCGGCGAGTGGACCCGGTCAGTATAGCAGAGTCAACCCTGACGATTATTATATGCAGATCGTCACCTCGAACGACATCAAGGCGCCGTACCTCGTGTCGACCGACATCGCGAAGATGCGGGATTTTTGGCTCGAGAGGCTCCATTATGCAGATGCAGTTATATTTTCATCGAGCAGTTTGGTTGCCAAGCTGCCATTCATTGGCGGGCGCTACGGCATTGCGTCTTCGACACCACGCTCCTGACGATGCTCCGCCAAACCCTCGAATCGATTCCCGATGACGAGCTTTACTTCAAGGCAGACTGCGAGCGCGTGAAGGCCAACATGCCGGATGTCAACGCCCGAGTGCGACGTGAACTCCAATCCGACGAGACGATTCGAAACGGCAAGTCGCGCGCCCTCGTCCTCATTGAGCAGCACTCCGTATCTGCGACGAGTCGTGTTTCCGCGACTGACCCCAATGTTGAGCCCGAGGCCGCCGCAACCAAATCATCTACGCGGTGCGATCGGAGTACCTCCAACCGTATTTGCGCCAAGAGATCAACTTTCGAAGAAGCGTTCCAACCGCTGGCACGACTTTGTCAGCCTCCTCATTGACACGTTTGGTGCGTACACTCGATTGGACGCCTCAAGAAGCCGGCGGCACCCACCACGGCTATCACCGACAGTGCGATCAGCCGGTGGAACCAAAACCAAGAAGCGATAGAACAAGCACGTTTTGTTATGCGTACGCACATCACACGCTACGCCGAGGTGTCCAAGCCGACGCAGGATCTATCAAGCCGCTGGTACCAACAAGCAGCTCGCACGCTTTCAGCTCGATGATTTCTTCGTCCAAATTGACGCGTTCGCAGCCATGAGCGCGGCGATCGCCTCCGCCACGCATCCCAACCCGGACCAAATCATTTGCGTTTTCGTGGATGTGTCGCTCGACTTCATCGGCGGCATTATCGCGCAGGTTTTGCACGACCTTCTCGAGCTCCCCGTCGACCAAGAAGATCACACACCGCTTTTCTTCCACTCCAAGGCGCTGTGTGCTTCATCTTTGAGAAAGAAGCGCTGGCGATGCTCGGCACCGTACTGAGTGTGCTTCACCTCACGCTACGCACGCCCGAGTTCTGCCTCTTGGTCGATCACGCCAACTTTATTTACCTCTTCGACCCCAAAAGCCAGGCTCTGTCTCTCCCGCGCCACACGTGCGACAAGGTCCTCCGCTGAGTCATCCTCATGGGTTTTCCGTACCAGATCTACCACATTTCGGGCAAAGCGAACGTCAGGGCCGACCTCCTTTCCCGATGGGGTGCTGGTCCGAGCAACCCTACCCCGGTATCTTTTTTCGCCCTGCACTCGACGTCTTTCAACAACGGACTTTGTCTGGCCTTCGGTAGCGGAAGTTGCGGACCCCCAAGGGCAATGCTTGACACAAGGCGCCGCGTTGCAGATGACTAAAAGCCCCACCGACGCGCTGTTTTGCGACGACAACCGCAGAGTCTGGATTCCCGTCGCGCCCGACAACAACATCAAGACGAGGCTCGCGATCCCCACGCACTGCGGCCTCGCAGGCTGTCGTGGTATCGACACGATGCTCCGCGTGCTCCGAGTTTACACGTGGCCAGACCAAGAAGCCGAGTCACGCGTTTTTGCCAGCAGCGCTTCACAGCCGTGCCCGAAGTTTGCTCCAGGTAAGGTCGTTCCCGTGCCCTAGGTCAGCCAGATCCATGCCGACAAGCCCAACGAGGTGTTGCACTTTGACTTCCCTCCACGACTGGCGAGGTCTATGTTCAGCGGCTGGGTCCAAGCGACAAGCCGCGGACGACGTCGGCACGTTCTTTGACGCTCTTTTCCGCTACACGAGCCAGTTCGGCGTCTCTGACGTGGATGTCCGACCAAGGTGCTCATTTCAAGACCCAAGCGGTCAAGAAGCTGAGCCACGTTTACAGCGCCGACATGCAACGGTACGGTCGAGATTGTCAACCGACACTTCAAAAGGCTCGTCCGGTGCCTGCATTCCGAATAGCAGCTCCCCAACTCCTCGTGACCCGTGGCAACCGCTGTGGCCATGAAGATCATCAACCACTCGCCTTTTCGTTTCCTCAGCAACCGTTGCCCGATCACCATCGTCACCAGCATGCCGCCGCACCTGCCGCTCGACGGTATCTGCAATCCCGCTACGTTGGACGTATCGACGCGGTCGACTACGACACGTTCCTGCACACCCACTACGATGAGATCGACGAACTACACCAAGCCCTCTTCGACATGCACCGCAATGTTGCAGCCCACAAGGCCCACGTCCGCGAGCAGAAGCTTCTAGCCCAAGATCGTGCGTCCAGGGCAGTCCTCCGCAAGTACGCGATCGGCGGCTTTGATCTCGTGCACACGACCCGCTCGAGCATGCCCAAGGCCTCTTTTTGCTGGACGGCCCGATGGTGATCAAGGACACAGTTTCCGACTAGGTCTACATTGTAGAAGAAGTACGCTCACAGAAGACACACCGCGTACACGCCGCGCACCTCAAGATCGACAACAACGCGTCCAAGGTTGCTCTCGTCCAAGTTGCTCGACGCGATCGATTTCTCCAGCATAACCACCGAGGTCGATCACTTCCAAGGTTACCGCATCAACGAAGTCGGCATCATGGAGCTAAACACGGTCTAGCTCGGCATCTAAGGCAACTCGTGGGAGCCGCCCCCGCAGAACCCGTACCTGCACCCGCTGCCGACGCGGTCGACCCCGACTACGACTCTGACGCCGCATCCATCGCCGGGGTAGAAGACGTCGACGCCGACGATGAGGCAGCCGATGCCGACGCGCTGGCGCCCGAAGCAGAGGCCACTGCACTCGTGGTTGCTGATGCCCAGGAACCCGATCGCCCGAAGACGAAGCAGCCGCCGCGCCGCCCGAGATCGCCCAGCGCTGCCGCACGTCAAGATCGCCGCCCCAGCGGCAGCACCGATCCTCAACTTTGCGCCGGCCGGCACGCTCGTACACTTCCTCGGCATCTACGTGGGCAACCGCGTTGATCCCGCGTACCAAGTGCAGCTTATCTCCGACCGATACGACGTGAGCTTCCAGCACTGGGGCTACCGGGCGCGAACGCTGAAAGGCCGGCGCCTCTTAGCCTCCTCCGTCATGGTCTCGCTCCTCTGGCACGTCACGGCCGTGGTCGTGATCCCACCCAAGACCGTCACGGCGTGGCAACAGATGCTGACACGCTACGTGCTGGGCCGCAAGCGCGACCCGACGGAGCCGTACCAATCGCTGCTTCACGCGTCGTGGAACCACCACATCGGGCTCGGTGCCGGGATACCGCACATTGCGTCGGCCATCCGCACCCAGCGCCTCCTCACGCTCCAACGTCTGATGCTGCCGGAAGAAGTCCGACCGCTTTGGGCGCCGCTGGTCCTCGCACAGTTTGAAGAGTGCATGGGCCACCTGTACCGTGAGTCGCACCCGTTCGACTTTTTGTGCTACGTGCCGCATTGGGGCACCAAGTGGATCACGACGTCGAAGCTGCACCCGTTCTGGTTTGACGTCTGGCGCCAGTGGTCCAAGACGGCGTGGGCCAAGCGCGTCGCGGTGCCACCTACATACGACATGGTCACCAACATGCCCGTGTGGCTCACGACGTATGAGCCCATGGCCATCGACACGATTCGCCACGCCGCCAAGTGTGACAAGCACGCGCAGGGTCGAGCCTGGTGTTTGCACGGTGCCGGCAACGGGTTCCGGGCGCTCCGCGACTTTATGACGCCGAGTGGTCACTGGTTCACGTGGACAGAACTCGCAGCGCGCATGCGTCAAGGCAACCCCGCGACGCGCGTGCATCTCCACCGACAGGGCCGGATCGTCGTATCCGCGGCTCGAGATATCGCGGCCGCCTACAAGCACCTGTGTGTCGTCTACGATCAAGTGCGCCGGCTTCACGACATTCGCACCGACGTGCTGCTACCCCGCCCGGCAATGACGACGCACCCGTTCCGGAAGCTCGTCAAGGACGTCGTGCAACCCTTCCAGAACTGGCCCCGACGCGACGTCCGCGACCTGGCCATGCACGCGCCAGCGCCACGCTGTCCGCACCCGCTGCTGTCGACAACGCGCCGGACCGTCGACGACGTCGAGACGTACCTCGCCGACCTACGCTACCTGATGCGAGTCGCGGCGCCCGTGCACGCTGACGTCTGGTTCCGCCTCGTGTTGCGGATGCTACCCGTCAACTCGCGCATGTACTACTTTCAGCACCAAGAGCCCGAAGCCATTCTCTGCCGCCATGGCTGCGGCGTCGTGGAGAGGGTAGTACATGCGTTCTTCAAGTGCCCGTACATCCACCCGATCTGGAAGTGGCACGACAAGGCATGGCGCGCTTTTGGCGCGGCCGTCTAGTGGCATCACGTCACGGACCTCGTCCAGTTCTTCGTTCACGAGTGGCATGCAGCGCGACGTGACGAGCTGTAGCAACTATGGGCCATGCGGTCGCCGTCACGGTTCACTTGATCTGGATGCGGCGCAACACCTCCAAGTTTGACAGTGTCCGACTCGTACCGGCGCAAGCGCTCCAGGACGTCATCTTTCTGACGATGCAGGCCACGATCCGACGACGGCTCCGCCTGCTCGACGCCACGTCGCTCCTCCTCGCGCAGCGCGGGTACCGGGTCCTCACCGCCAAGTACCCACTCGACCCAGCTCAAGCCGACGTTTGCGCGATCCAAGTCGAGGCGACAAACCTCCTCGACGAGCTGGTCGCCGACCCCGAGTGCAACGAGGGCCCCAAGTGTTGTGAATGGTTGCGCCAAATGAGTCTCACATGCGTCAGGGCCAGTACAACCGTCAACGCCACCGCGCTGCAGTTCTCGACGGTCTCCGACACCGCCACGCGGTCTTGAAGGTGGCCGCGCGCTCCGGTCGCGCCACCGAGTTCGAAGTTTCTGCCGCTGGCGACGCGTACAAGGAAGCCAAGGCTGAGACACTCCAAGCCAACCTCGACAGTGGCTTCGACCGGCACCCAAACCTGAACAAGGTGGCCTCGTTCTTGTTTCTGCGCAATCCGCCGTCCCTCAAGGTGCCCATCAGGTCGGCCACGCGCGACGGCGTGACGACGTCCAACCCGACGACAGTGAACGACATTTTTACGGCGCACTGGTCGGCGATCATGCGACTCCCGCCGGACGAGCCGCCGCCCGACCCAGTACACCAAGCCAACGTCATCGACTACGCGACGGCCGCGTTGACGGACGACGAGCGGACGACGCTCGACCGCCCGATCGAAGCAGAGGAACTCTCCTCGGCCATTCGCACGATGCAGAAGAACAAGTCGCCGGGTACCGACGGGTGGCCCGCCGCATTCTTCCAAGTCGCCCGGGCACGTTTGCGGCTATTCTGGTCCGGGTCTTCGAGTACCAACGGTCGAAGCGAGGTGTCCTCCTGGAGCACCAACGTCGCAGCAGCTCGGTCACGTTCTTGTACAAGAAGGGCAACCGGTCGCTCCCTGGCAACTACCGGCCGATCGTGCTGATGCCGATCGAGGTCAATATTTTGTCCCGAGCATTGGCCCGTCGCCTCTCCTGCTCAAAGTCATGGAAATTATGCAAATTGGGCCCCAATTTCTCGGGTGGGTCAAGCTGCTGTACAAGGCGCCCGAGGTCCGGCTCCTCCTCAACGGCTCCCTCGGCCCGGCCATCCATCCGACGCGCGGCGTCAGGCAAGGTTGTCCGCTCTCGTGCCTGCTCTTCGACCTTTACCTCGAGCCACTCGGTGCAATGCTTCGCTCGCGGCCTGAGCTCGGTATCCCCATGCACGATGGTACTCGGATTACGGGCGTCTTCTTCGCCGACGACTCGATGCTGCTATCGGATTCGCTCCAGTCGGCCGAGCGCCAGCTGGCGGACGTCGTTGGGCCATTCTGCGCTGCGTCCGGCGCTTTGCTCAACCAAGACAAGTGCGCCACGCTCGTGCTCAATGGCCACGCGCCCGTGCACCGCTCGAGCAACAAACGACGCTCTCCTTATCGGCGACGGGTGCGCCTGTCCGCTTCCTCGGCGCGTACGTTGGCCACAACCTCGCGCCCGAGTACCAGGAGCAGCTCATCAGCGACAAGTCCATGTCGTCGTTCGCGCAGTGGCAGTACCGCGCGCGTACCGTCAAGGGCCGCCGGATGCTGGTATCCGCGATGCTGCTCGGCCTTGTGTGGCACATGACGGCAATCACGCCGATCTCCGACAAGACGCTCGCGCGGTGGCAGAAGATGCTCAACCACTACGTGACGGGCAACAATGCGAAACCCGACGACATGTACCGCGCGTCGATCTCACAGGATTGGTTCTTCGACCGCCGCGCGGGCCTCGGGATCCCGCACATCGCGTCGGCCATACGCAGCCAGCGACTGCGCCTGCTGCAGCGGGTCATGGCTGAGGCCACGACCACGTCCCCGCCCGCGTGGGTCGTGCTGGTACTCGAGCAGTTTGGTGCGTGTATGAAGACGGCGTATCGCGACATGCACTCGTTTGACTTTCTCAGCTAAGCGCCCGAGCATGCCTCCTAGTGGCTTGACCTCAAAGCTCTGCACCTGATCTGGAAGAACGTTTGGGTCAAGTGGAAGCCGGTGCCCAAGAAACTCAAGATGCCCGTCGCGCCCGGCCTCGCGACGGCGCTCAGCACACCGCTCACACCCGACCTTGCAACGACGCTCAACATGCCGATGTGGCTCACTCGACATCCCGAGTTCTGCCACGGCGACAAGGAGACGGCGCCGGCGTCTCTCGTCTCGCAACGTGCCGAAGCCAGCGACTGGCTGCGCCTCGGCGCTCAAAATGGCTACCGATGTCTGCGCGACATTATCACCAAGATGGACACGGGCGGCGTCTGGCCCTCGTGGCGTCGCTTCTCTACATGCATGTCGACGACCCACGCCGGGCTTCGCGTTCAGTACGACGCGGAGATCGACTTGATCGCCGTGCGGCCGGCCGCTTACACGAAAGCCGTCTACGACCACCTCAGCACCGTGTATCGGAACGTGCTTGCACGCACGGGTACGCCACTGGATGCTGTGCTCCACGACGTCGCCGTCGATCCGCACCCGTTCCGTGCCAAGGTCAAAAACGCGGTTGTCCCGTTCGAGCGTTTGCCACGTCATCTGATCAACCAGATGGCCTACCACGCACCCTCCTCAACGAAGCCGACACCGACGTACAGTGCGCGACGACCGGACCGGACTGCCGCAGCCACCTACATGGGCCTCCTCCGCCGCTTGCTGCGCTGGTTGAGGCCGTGCACGCCGACGTGTGGTTCCGGGCGACGATGAACATGATGCCGGTCGCTGCTCGGTGCAACTACCCAGACGCTGCCCCACACCCGATGACGTGCCCGCACGACTATGGTCGTATCGAGACCGTCGGGCACGCGCTCCGACTCTGTCCCAAACAGGCTCCGATGTGGGTCGAGCACCAGAAGGCCTGGACCTTCGTCGCCCGACCTAGTTGGGTAAGCTTATCATTTGGCAAGTGCTGTCCGGAAACATTCCGGATACAACCAAAAGGCATCTCGACGTCGTCGCCGGTATTCCGACGGTATGTGGCTGCGCTGAGTTCGATGCTACCACCGGAAGCGCTTCGTGCTTGATGTCCTGGTCCTCCCACGACCTCTGCCTGGAGGCGCATCAACAAGGTACCGCCCGCCATGAACCTCGCGTACAAGGTCGCCTCGGATCCGAGCTTTGCTCAAGGTATCTATGATCGAAACTTGTCGCCGTCGGTCCTTGGTTGCGGCGACCAAGGTCCACGGCGTAGACACGCGCTTGGCGCGATCTTCAGAGCGAAGCGCCCGTTCGTCTGGCGCGACCTTTGCACCACGCGTCTCACAGAGCCATCACTAGGTGCCAATAACAAACTAGGTTCCGACTCTGCCGCAGCTCGTGGGTCTCCTCCAATACGCAGAAGAAGCACGTGCACGAGCACGATGCGGCTAGATGCATTTACTCTTTATACGCCTTTCAAAGCTCTCGAGCACAACGCCGACTTGCACGACCAACAAGCTCCAGTCGACCGACGATCCACACGGCGCGCGCTGACGCGCAGCTCGTTTGCCACCGAGACGGTGCGGCTCGTTCTTCTCGACGAAATAACTCCTTTAGAGAGACTACTGCCCGGCACTGGAAGCCTTCGGGTTGTGCATGCTTGCGAGTTTGACGACGGCAGCACCCCGGACGTCATCGCTTTCGTGCGAAGAACCAGCATTTGCTGCTGGACCAACCGCAGCTCTCGTCGTTGGTCGACGTCCCACTCGAGTTCTCGTCTAGTAACCAAACGAACGACAGCGTGCAAAACGATACTGCAATGCATTTTTGGCAACACGACTACTTCTCTACTGCGAGTTCGTGTTGATGTGGGACTCGCGCCATGGTTTTTCGCGGGTATTTTCGTTCCAATTATGACACCCGAGCACAGGAAATATTCATCCCGACGCAACTTCGTTGGACGACTTGCTTGGCAGTTGAGCGTGCACATGGCTCTCAGTTGCCACACGCTCGAACGTGATTAAACGAGCACTCTGGCCACAGATGGAGCATCAATACTGGCGCCGTCGCCCGCCCATATCGAGCACAGACATAACTTCGCACACTTGAAAAGTTGTAGCAGGAGTGTTGTGAGTGTGCTGCTGTCGTGTCCACCGCGTCGGAAGGCTACCCCTACCCCCTACCTAACCCTATCGTCACGAGCACTTTGTAAATGCACGCTGCCGCGTACTCGTCGACATAAACGACAATACAACGCGTAGCATCGCCACACAGCCCCACCGTTCGACGTGCTAACACCTGGCAACTTTACATATCACATTCCCTAGCCTTCGTCGTTGCTAGCACCACCGACAGACAACAGGACCAGCCCGCGCATGGGCAAGAAGCTCTAGATGCGACGACATGACGAAGCTCCAGCGCATCCATACCCTAGAGCCTCATCGTCCTCGACCTCTCCGACGTTTTCTGGCTCGTCGTTGGCCCAACCATCGCCACTGGATATATGTAGCGATCGCTGTGGGCCAAATGTAGACTGCCCGACAAAAGCATACTAATGTACTTTAGTGTCGCCCAAGCAGAGATCGAACACGACAAACCGACTTGGAGGCGTATATATGCATGGTAGCTGTCCGTGTTGACCGTCTCGGTCGAACTCTGTCCAATTTCCAACATGGAACTCGCCCATAGCCTCGACACCACTTTGAGTTGAGTGCCACGTCGATTCGAATGCTCGGCACATAAGACGCAGCTCCGTACCTAGAGTACCGAGAGACAGCCGTCTCGCCGACGTATGAGCTGCTAGACTAATGCAAAAGGACATGCCAAATTTATTGGGCGGTCAAACTACAACTTATATTATGGTAAATCGCCGACGCTTCTTGGGCTCGCAGTCATCGTTGTCGCTCGTGAGATCGATTACCTCCTGGCGCTTGTGATCGGTTGCGTTTGGTTCAATTGGTTTTGCGCGCTGGGTCGTGGTGGCGCTGTCTTTGAGTTGGACCCGGCAGATGCTGCGGATCGACGTGCTCCGGATAAATCGGAGCGTCGACAGCGCCTTCCATTTGCCGTCTTCGTAAAAACTGCGGTTGAACTTGCCATTGTTCTCTTCGCGGACGCGCACAGCCATGAGGTGCTGGTGGAAGCCCGGGTCTTCGAACGTCACGAAATGGTACGCGCCGGGCGTCTCGCATGTTGTGATGATATCGTTTTGTTTGTCGTCGCGCACGCGGTCCTTCAAGAGGCTCTTGCCGTAGACGTGTCGGTCGATATCAAAGCCACGGTTGCGCAAGAAATCCAAAAAGCAGAAAACGACTTGTCCGGCACGCCCTTGCCGGGCTCGAGCTTCTCATGCTTGACGAGAAAGTCGTCGATGAGTTTGGGCGTGATCGTTCGGTCGTGCCGGCCCTTGAGCTGGTGGAATGTCGCGATGAGAGCGTCCCGGACGCAAGTGCCAGTCGCGTTGGCGCCTTTTGTACCGGGGTTGATGTCTGGCACATCGCGCTTTCTTGCTCTCTTGCGACGAGATGTGGCCGTACCTACAGGCGCGACTGCCCCAAGAGCCGACGAGCCTGCGCCGGAAGCGGCGGGCGACGCGGGGACAGCGGGCTCGGGAGAGGCGGGCTCGAGGACGGTGCCGATAGCCGCAACGGCCGCAAGAGCCGACGAGCCAGCGGGCTCGGGAGCGACGGGCTCGAGGACGGCTTCAGCCTCGACCGCCATGGCATCCGCCACAAGGCCGATCAACCCTGTCGCTGGGCCGTCTGTCTGCTGGTTCGTTTTCTAGGACTTGTGACGCCCGCGCCGCTTCCTCACGGGCATCTTGCGCATGGCATCGGGCACTTGGACCTGGGCTTCCACTTGGGCACCGGCGCTGGCCATTTGGAATTGATGATGCTACCATGAACACTATCTATCGACAGATTCAAATAAATAGTGTACATCCGATGTGCGATCGCCGACACACCGATGCTGGGTTGCTACCGGGTCCATAACTGCCACGAAGCACGGACACTACGAGATAGATCACATTGTGTATGGCAAGTGAGGTTGAAAGCTCAAACTACGACGGGAAAGTGAACACTGTATTTTGAACACTACTACACTATTACAGACCAAATCTTGCCCCGACCAGCCGGTTTTTCTCAAAACATGAGTATAGACTGCATAGGGCAACACAGTGGTAGTGTATGTTGACTGGCCACAGCAAAGCCCTGGTAAAATAGTGTTCTATGTTGATAAATGGTGTTGAGCGGCCCCGACACATTATTCGACACCATTTATCCCCGTATAACACTATTGGCCACGTACATACCTCACTCATGAGAAACTGGACTGGCCCTCTCAAGATTTGTGTGACCGCAAAGTGGCGCCGCTGAGCCGCGGCCGGGGAGCCGCGAACGATGCGAGCGCCGCAGCAAGCGTGTGGATCTGTACAATGTATATGATCCGCATTTGTTGTGCCATGTACTCTCCGGCACCCGAGTTGCTTGGCTCCGGCGCCGATTGCAGTCGCACAAGCATCGAAGATGCCCGCAGCCACGGTGTTTGTTCTCTGGTGCAATGAATTGTGGTTTCTTCTCACTGCGCCCTCTCATAGACGCACCACAGAGACCGAGTGCCAGACGGCAACGTGCATCTTCAACACCAAAGACACGTCGGCACGACTACGACGTTCAAGCTGATTGCGTTTTTGCTCAACGACCCAGCGTGGAAGTGCCGCCGCGCGCAACGTCGATGCCGGGTACGGTGTGCCCTGGGAGCACTCTTCCTGAGCAAATCCGCGCTCTTGGTGCGCTGTCGATCTCGACGATTTTGGTCTTGGCAACGACGAGAGCGCAGCTGCTGTCGAGGTCGTGACACAGCGCAGTTCTCCCAGAAGTCCGTCCCGCCAGTCAACGTTCCGACGAGCTGGCACGAGGTGCGAAGGATTGCTTGCGATGGACACGAATAAGAGTTCGTGTACTAAATCTGTCGCTACAATCTACTAGCCCCGCCACAACAAGCGCAACTAATTGGCTGCAATTACACTCCATCCGTAGGTCGTCGGCACGCACGGTATGTCGTCGCTCCCGTGTCGCGAAAGTGGACTGCATAAAATGATGCGTAGGACGGTCCTGGTCAAGCAAAGATTGTTGACGGGCACACCCCGCATCGTTTGTGAGGCGTATGCTCATCTGGGTCGTTGTGCTCGTGGCCTCTATTCGCTGGGGGGTCGAGCCATGAAGCACCAAACCAGCGACGCGAGGCTTCGTTCGTTCGCGCCGCCGCTTCGATACCGTGTCGATCGACCAAGTCCTTACCGTGCTTGTAGATGCGCCATCAAGATCATCCAGCCCATCGGACGCTCGACGGCGACCTCGACCTCGGTTTGCAGGCACTCATGCGGCGAGCGTAGGCACAAGTCTCGGGCAGTGTTGTTTGTTGCAAAGCGATCAACACGGGCGCGCAAAGGAGATCTCGAAGGACTCGTATTCGTCCCGCCAAACCGACGCTAACCTCTGCCTCGCGTGCGTGTTTCCTCCTCCTCACAGTAATGAGATTCTCATGTCTTTCTATAGACAGAAAATATGGACACGAGCTCGTCGTCATCATGGACCTGCTCTTCGATCGTTCTAGGGTGTTCTCTGTCCTCGGCTAAAACTCCGCGGCGCAACGCAGCGAGCCGATCCAGGTGCGTCCATGCTGCCATCAACGTGATGGAGCTAACATCGCGTGCAGATGCGGTGCTCGGTTCTCAAAGACGACGGGTGAAAGTACCCGCTTGTCTCGAGCAAAGGCACCTTGCAGCACGACGAGATCGTTTGCTTGTTGCCGCGACCGTCGACGCCGGCAAAACGCGTGGCCGCTCATCGTCCTACTACCGAACTAGCGGCTCTTCCTCCCACCACACTACTTGATTATCTCCTGGATTAGGCGATCGCCGTCAAGCTGCTGGCCAAGCCCATCATGTTTGATCGCGTCAAGGCCGAGGACAAGTGCCAGACGACCACATTTCTCCAGGGCGGTGTGTCCCGCCTTGTGCGCAACTGGCTTGGGCCTCGTCCATCCAACGCATGCGTCTTCGACATGGGCTTGGACGCTTGCACACGATGGGCTGGATGTTGGAGCTATTCGCGTCCGACGCCGAGCGCAAATACGAGCCATATTCGGTGGGGTGAAGTTGTGACAAGGGGCAGAGCGCATGCACGCAAAAGTGGATTCATGCTATCCTGTTTTGGTGCATGCTTCCAGTTTATTATACGCTTCTGATGTGTGTTATTTTGCATATTGGTCGGTTGCCAAGCAGTACGATGGGGGACTTACATGAGCAACGG